ATATATATATATATATATATATAATTCATTTAAATCAACCAAAACTGAACAGAAGGAATCACAATATAAGTTAAATATCTGATTTCAAACTTCAATTAATATTTAAAACAAGAATTTGCCAACAAGAATTGAGAATTTGTAACAGTAAAACTAATTATGCTTTTTGAATAATTATTTATTACAGTGCTAATTAACAGATATATTTTTAATTTCTCCCCCTCAGGACCAACAGTTTCTAATTTTACATATTAACCAAAGCTATTTCAAAAGAATTTTTTAAAATTGTAATCAGAAATTGGATTGCAATCAACATCTTGAACAGTTTAACATAAAAATTTTAAAATGTTTAAAAAATAATTTACAAGTTAAAAAATACAAAAAGAAAGTGCAACTTGGTTTTAATATGAAGATTTTCATATATAAAAGCCTAAGCAATTACAAATGTCCTACTCATTTAAGAATTAACTCTTCTAGAAATTAAAACACAAAACACAGAATGCTGCGCTAAAATGAACTGTTCAAATGGCAGAACAAACGGGGAGGAGGGATCATTCTGATATTATTTCATCATATGTTAATATCATACAGATTCTTGTGCACTTAATTAAATAAAGATTTAATTGTTCAAGCCATAAATGCACGTTTTTTTCTTGGGATCACGGAGGTTTACAATAAATATTATTTCCATCTAGTTACAATACTTTACTTTGGCAGAATAAAAAATTGGCAAGTAAAAACAAAAAACAAGAAAACCTCAATTTTCTTTTGAGGTTTTAAAAAACTTAAAATTATAAAATTAAAAAAAACTGGAAATTTAAAGATATATGATTATTGCGAATAAAGTCTTCTTACTACGTAACATCAAAGCCATATATGCATTTACAACAATTTAAAGACACACCATGACCTAAACAAATACACGCGAAGGCTAGGCAAATAAGTATCCATTTTCATCATTTACTAGCAGCTCTGTACAGAAAATTAAAGAAAAACTGTATGAATTATACAATACAATTTTCTTCGTGCACCAAATCATAACTCTATTTCATAAATCACACATTGCAGCTAGGGATACTTTTACATAGAAACTGTTGTATTAAAATATTAAAATTTATGAAAGTACCTTATTTTGTTCCAATAAAAATGCCACTTTGAATTTAGCCAAATATAGGGCATAGTTGTTAACGTATAAAAATTCTAGTATTTATTAAATAGATCTATGAAGTAATTTTTGACAAAATTCTCCTTCCAGAAAGAGCATTACTTTATTTCTAAACATACTTGATATACATCAAACTAAACTTCCGAAACATCTTTATTTCAGCATATTATTTTCAAAAAAAAAAAAAAAAAAATTTGCTTACACATAACGTATACATTAAATTTTAGATATTTTTGTTCTAGGAAGAAAATTACTAAAATTAGCTACCAGAATAGCAAATTTGATATTCCTGCTCATTATTATACGCGTCTTTTCCATAGATACAGCATAAAATTTTACTTATAATGATCAATAAGTCGCCTCTATCCTTAGCATAGGTAGAAGTCAAAGCTATTCTTTACCATTTTTAAGACTTAACTCTGTTTACCCCCTCATTATTCTAATAACAAACATTCATGTCCTACGCATCTTAATCTAATATATATATATTCCTTTGCTTTGATTATATATCCTTGCTAGAACAAAGCTTGTACCATACAGCATAAGACAATAGCTTTAAGCAAATTAGTAGTTATTATATGATAATACATGTGATACGAAAACAAGAAATAACTCGGCAGTTAATTAACCATTCAAAATTGCACTATCCTATATGCGAACAAGCCAGAAATCACATGCTTTTAAATATAATTATTTAAAACAAATGTAACAAAATCAACATATTGATAGCAGCATATCAGTAGAGGGCAGATTTCTATGTACTAACTCTTTTAGGGTGGTGATGACCTTGCTAAAAGATTTTATAACATTGCTTTAAAACATATTCTTAGCTTAAGAGTCAACAATTAATAGTGGCAAAGGAATGATTTCTGATAAAAATTCTCAAATAATTAGAGAGAATTATTTCCTTTCTTCCATGACAAATTTTTTTAAAACAGTTTATAAAATTTTATTTCCAGCATCAAGTTATAGGAATTTTAAGATACTAACACATTCCCCCCCCCCTCATATTATACACACTTTTTAAAAGTGACAAAATCAGTATGTTTATAAACTTTTATGGTTTGCTTGCAAAATCAAAACAAGTTCATTGTAAGCAAAAGAAGAATATGCTACATTGAGAGAAAATCCAAAAAACAGCAAACTGAAAGCTGTTATATATTATTAAGCATGAAAGATAGCAATGTCAATATGTGTTTAGTAAGCACAACAGCTTGAACTCGACTTAATTATGCAATTATGCTAATTAGATTTAATAATATATATATATATATATATAATAGCACATCACATTTGAGTATCACAAATGAGAAATTCCTGGTTAAAAACAGATATCACTCTCAAACAAATGCACTCATTCTTTATCAAATAATTCAAGCTCAAATACATGCAAAACAATTAACAAATAACAAAAAATGCTCTTCTTTTGATATGGTTATAAAGGTGTCAGTGCTAAAAACATTTCTTAGGAACTAGGGTAACAGCCATCATTTATATCCACATTCATGCTAAATGTGATTAAGCAAAAAATCTAATGTGATAGAGCTTTTAAAATTATCCAGGCAGATATCAAAGAACATCATGAGCATGTTCGATCAAAAAGAAAAAGGGCAAACGACTACGTAAATTTCTACTGCAACATCAAAAGTCTTTTTTGACAATGTACTTACTTCAAACTTTGGCTTCCACCACCCAAATCTTGCCTGGAATGCAATGGAGAAATATATACATGACTTTTAAATTTTTTAAACGATAATTAAAACATAACACATTATTCGAATTACAATTTCCTACCAAGCAAGAAACATATTGCACCTATAGTCTGAAGCATATATATTGGATAGGGAAATAATTCAATGTAAGAAGCACACTGAAGTGAAGAATTAAAAACCTCAAGTTCTGAATTCTCTTTTAAATTTCGGCTGAACTCTAGTCTGAAAATTAGTAGATAAGAACATCACGGTATTAAATATCAAGTCCCTTTTATTTCAAAAGACAAACAATATCAATTTTCTATGAAAAATCATAGAAAAGTATTTTCATTAAAATGTTTTTACATTAACAGCTTCAGGCTGTAGCAGAAAATGATCCAGTTACACGCAGGATATGATTCATTTTGTCTCTATATATCTCTCTTTTCCTTTAATTACTCAGAAAATTATTAAATCTTTATTCCTCCCTTTTATTCCTATTAAAATAGCAATATCAATATACATACATATCACAATATTTAAAATTTGTATTTATTGCTTTTGACTACCAATTTCAATTAATCAAATTCCAATTACACAGTTTCTTTTCAGTTCTTTCAAATTATTGGCTTCATAAACAATTCATAAAACAGCTTAATAATTTTTTGTGTTTATCTACTTTATTGTGCATTAAAAATTCTTATTTTCATTGCAGAAAACTCAAAATATCACTAATCTGAGGTTTTCTATGATATAAAAAACAGTACGACATCCAAATTATTAATTCAACTATTAATATTGAATATTTTACTGATATTTCTATCATAATATACTGTATCAAACTTTTCTACACTCTTAAAACATAATTTAATTTATGCTGCTTCAAATTATATATCAGCCATCATCTAGTTTTTCTACTCTTTTCTTCAATATTTAGGCACAAACATGCCTTTTGCCTTGCTTTTATTCCAATTTAGTAATAAATTTAGATGCTTTAAGTGTATTCAACCATAGCATATCTCTAATGATAAAACGATACTTGTATCTTCTATGTTTATATAACCTACATCACATTTACGAATCACAGCAAAACAGGAAAGAAAAATTTAATAACAGCTAAATAGCATTTTAATGATTTCTGCAACTATACTTTGAGTAGGCAGATTTTGTTTTAACATTAAAAATCTCACCCTTGCAAACACTTGAAATATTGTTTTTCCTTCGATATGTACTTGGAACAATTTATAAGTTATTTTCTCCCTTCATTCTGTATGCCTTTGTGATGTAACGGTAGCATACTCGGCGCGCATTTAAAGGTCCAGGTTCAAGTCCCAGCGAGGGCACTGCACATTTTTCACGTCTCCTGCTTCAAAACAACTTAATGACCCTACAAATTTTTCTCTTTGAAGTCAAATAACTACAATTTCCCCAGAATTTTTTAATAACTAAATAAGAACAATTTTCTTCAAAAAGAGCATAAACATATCAAACTTCCATAGGCTGTTTCTTTAAAAAGCGCCATTCTCCACGAAAACAAAACTGTTAAGCAGCAGACGATAATTTATACTTTCAAAAATACAGCTGTAGTTAAAACAAAAATTTCTAAGCAGATGATTTTTTATAGCAAAGCAAAATCCATCTAAAATATATGCTAAGAGCCTGACATAATCTATATAACTGACATAATGACAACCTCATAAAATCTTTAGAACTACCATTTTCCAACTATATAAATGGAGAATACGCACATCACAATACATATCAATAAGCTTAACACAATCAGATATCAAGAGGTCAATCAAATGAAACATAAAATATGTTAAATTTTCAAAGGAAATGAATCCTTAGAAAAATTATTTTTATTAAAAATGCTTTTTTGATCAATTTTCCTTAATTCTATCTCAAAACACGTGAAAGTTTTTATACAGAGCATAAGAATAATTTCTACTTTAATACATGACTTAAAAACTAAGCATTTCTACAGCAGAATTGCATAGAAAATTTCTAAATCTAAACAATCACATATTTGTTGTCAATGAACAGAAATTTACTTATGATCAAACTCAAAACCAAACAAAGTACATCTAAACATTAGCCTAACTTTTCTGAACAGAGAAAGCAAAAGAAGCATACCATGAACATGAAAATTACGGAAGTTTCAACCTGAGATTGATAGGTGTAACAATGGCAATAATACAAAATTAAATTCTGACTAATTTAAAATTTTGTATTAGTACAGCTAAAAGGGTACATTAATCATTCATGTTGCAAATGTGTTTTATTCAATCAGGCTGATTAAGGCAAGCAATGACTTTATCATAACCAAAAAAATATCATATTGAACATGTCACTTTAATTTCCTTTATAGGATCACGATTTTTATTTGAATAAATAATAATTCCTAAAATATAATTTCTTAACATTTATTTAACGATTTACACGTTGCCTCTTTTCTGTTAATAAATATAAGCATACAGTAAACTCTCCTTAACACTCCAAGCAGCCAAGAGTTTGGTTCCAAAATGAATAAATGGTATTTTCTCAATAATTAAAAAACTATCCTCTCACTTTGTACACTGATGTTTTTTCTTCCAGTACATACAGACTACCTTAATTCCTTGCACATATTTCATGATGCATGTTTGTGTACTTAAGAGTATAAGTATGTGCAAGTGAAAATTTTTAGTGTGTGTAAGTGAAAATTTTTAGTGTGTGTGTGTGTGTGTGTGTGTGTGTGTGTGTGTGTGTGTGTGTGTGTGAAAACAAATATATAAACACCTGGCTTGTCCACTCAAAAGTTAATATTTGCCCTTTTAACAGGAGATCTGGCTGCCACAGTCTTGAATTTGGATTTGAATCCCAGAGAATTTTTCCCTAAAATACACAGCGATTTGTTTGTGCTTAAAAAAAATCAGAAAATTGTAGAGACTCTGCATTGAACAAACCTTGGCAACACAGGTTACCTAACAAACGCATTTCCTCATTGTTCTCTTTAAAGGTTTTATGGCAAAATTCTGTATTCCTACTAAAATTTTACTTCAGTTTTTTTTCCGATTGCTAGCATCTACAAGTGTTTGTTTTAAAACACTCATAGATGCTAGCAAGGCAAAAAATAACACAATTTGTTTATAGAAACCATTTGGACTTAGAATACCAGCAACAGAATGCATATGAAAATGATGAGATTGCTTGACTGAAGGATTATTATGAGTATAATAAAAAAAAAGTTCATGAGCATGGTTGCCAGAGTTGGCACACACTGAATTTGGCGACTTCTAAGAAATTGGTTGCGATAACACATTACTATTTATTTTGTAACTAATTTTGATATTAATGTTCTGATTTGTTGTTTTCAAAGCTGTGATTATTTTAAAAAAAAAACTGAACTCTAACAATCAGCTTTATAGACTTTAGAATTGTGAGAAAATGACAATTTCTATTTTCATTTAAAATTGTATTTAAAAGAATTTCATTAATTTTAAAGATTATAAGAAAATATACTTGTAGCATTTAGTACCTACTAAATTTATTTAACCTAAAATTCTTTTAACAATACTAAATCAAGTCGACCACTCCTGACATTCTAAATCCATTGAACTGAATTTGAAAAAGTAGCCATTGTACACTGCGGAAAAAAAATTGACAGTTCTATATCTCCCGTTCTGCTTAGCCAATTGACAAAATTCAAATTGCGTTTTTAATGTCTCGAAAGCGTGACTTACAATATACACCGTGTTTCAAAAAGAATATACATATTACAAAGTGTTATTTTGTCCAAACCATTGATTACTGCACCTCGGCTTGGCCATTGGCGAAATGAATACATAGACTAGTTAATATTAATAGCCGCTAAATGTCAGTTGTCTTCTGTTTTGTGTGGTTACTGTAACATGTTTAAAATGTCTACTCCACAGTAGAAATCTTTTGTGTCCTCAAGTTTGCGAAGTGCAATTCCGTGCAAAGATGTTTCAAGTTGAGGTACCAAATTGATCTTCCGAATGGGTGGAACATTTGCAGATGGTATCGACAGTTTGTAAATACAGGATGTGTATGTAAAGGAATGTTTGCCCTCGCGTCCCCGACAAAAATGATTATGAAGTCGTACAAGTTATATTTGTTACAGGCTCTGTGTCCTGATGGCAAATGCAAACGTGTGGCATTTTGTAACGAGATTATTGATGCTATTGACAATAACACTTTCCCACAACTCATGGTGTTCTATTAGTGGTCATGTAAACAAACACAATGTTCGAGTTTGGGGCCTACAGAACCCACCTGCAGCCATTGAACATGTACGAGATTTGCCCAAAATCAATGCGTTTTGTGCGACATCCTGATCATCTGTTTACGGACCATTCTTCTTTGATGGAAACATGGTTAACGGTCAGCAGTATCTTACTATGTTACAAAACTGGTTATTTCCAAGGCTGCACGAAGACAACTTCATTTTTCAACAAAACAGGGCACCCTCTCACTGGTGTCACCAAGGGTGTGATTATCTTAACTCCACCGAACCATTGGATTGGTCGTCAAGAAGCTGGCGACTTAGCATGTCTCAGCTGGCCTCCACAGTCACCGGATTTGACACCCTGTGACTTCTTCCTAAGGGAATTCATTAAAGACGCCGTTTATGTACCACCACTCCCACAGAACCTGGAATAAGAGAAGAACAGGATCCGTACTATCATAACATCAGTGACGACAGACATGCTTGCCCAAGTATGGGAGGAATTTGAGTATCGATATACTATTGTTTGTGTCGCTGATGGAGGACATATTGAGCATCTGTAATCTGAACTTTAGAGGTTCATACATATGTGTGTAAAGTTTCATATTTGTATGTCATACAGTTTAATAAATATATGCATTCGAAATATATATATATTCTTTTTGAAACATGCTGTATATTAGATTTATACATAGCATTGTTCTAAAAGAGATATTTTGACACAAAATGGGACTTTTTCTGAAATAACATAACATTTTTTTTTTCATATTTTAATTCTATGATTCAAATTATGTCTAAATATTAAATGTATGCCTAAATATTAAATTTTGTAAAACTTGGTGTGAAATTTACAGAGAAATTCACAAATTTATCTTGGCGTCTTTTTCTCAGTTCGCACCAAGAATAATTCACTTGGCGAAATTCTTAATATATGGCAAACCATTTTCCTTTCCCTTGCATTGTGAACGACCGGAAAAAAAAAAAGTCACCTCAATCCTACACTTTTACATTGTGCATGAGCAAAACAAGTCACATCATTCTTCTTTCAAATAATTTTAACAAAGTGCCTAAATCACATTTGATGTTATTATTGCTTTCAAAAAATATGCCAAATTTCAAAATGTGCCAATATATAAATTCACGTATATCTTTAGAAATCTTGAATAAAAAACTGTAATTTTTTGCAGCTATGCTTAGAAATGACATGATGGTAAAAATTTTAATAGATGATAAAGAAAACATTTTTTGAAAAATTTATATAAATTATTTAAAAATACATATTTTAAATAAATCATAAAAAATGGGCGAATTTTATTTGGAATAAACCTAAATTTTGAAATGTGAAAGGAAGAATCAAATAAGTTTAATCAGGGTTCATAGCCACATTTTAGTTAAAAAAATAAGCACCTATAAGCACTTTTCAAGCACATTTTAAGAAAAAAATAAGCACCTGTCTAATTACATTAAATGCATAACCTTAAAATTAGACTCGTAATTTAAAATATGAGAAATGCAGTATTCATTAAGAGAGAATAAGTATTACCTCAACCATGCAAAATAATTACTTTTTTTTAAAATTTTAAATAACAGTTCAATTTACAGAACTAGTTTACATTGACAGGAAAAAAAAAAACTATGCAGAACTAAACTATATTACAACATTTAATGATGAAATTTCACTTCAAAATAGAGGAAATAAATAATAATAAGGCATATTTATTCTATTCGCTTGGAACTTAATAATAAATACAATTTATTTTTCCACTCATATTGATATTTAACTAATTTAAATCTAAATTCTGAACATTTTCTAAATTTCCATCGTATATCAGTTTTTCCTTAACAGATATTGCAAGAGGAACATTTCTGAAATCAGAAGACAGAAATTTGCTTCATGCCAGTCATCCTTTAACACAGTAAAAGCTTAACTACCCCCATACTTGAAAATGGGGTGAACATTCGGACAGTCGAGCGTAACTTGAAAAAGAGGAGCGGAGGGGGGGGGGGATAGACTGTAGCCATTCTTTAGATTTTTCTGCTAAATAAATGCTTTTGACATTTTGATATGTGCATCATATGAAAACAAACCAAGGGAACAGAAAAATATTCTGCTTTGCAAGCACAGTAAAACTCTTTTAAGTGTTCATAAACAACAACCTGGGGTGTTTTCATTCTAATTTTCAACAGACTGCGTTAAATTTCCGGAATAGAATCATTCTTCGCTTGGGGTGGTTGACCGCAGAACTTTTAGTCCTATTCAATCCAGATTGGAAAGTGACCAAAAAAAAAAAAAAAAAGGTCCGTTGCTTGTTTTGCAGCGAACTGTAACAGTTTCACTATTCGAGATTTTGCGGAGAAAGCGGAGAACCTCCCAACCTTCGTACTGTATAATGTATTGGCCAAAAAAATTAAATTATTTTGACTATTCGATTACTTTCCCTTTATTTAAGGCATTCCAAATATTATTCCTTAGAAAGCTAATCTGTGTTAAAACACAACCATTTTTGGAAGTTTACTATACTTCAGCAGTTACTGCAACTATGTTATTATAAACATTCATACATATGCTCATAATATAAGCATAATGATCATAATAAACACTAATATGAACTTGACCAAGCGGAACGAGAATGCAAAATTATTAAGATCTTGATAGAAATTCAAACGTGTGTAGTATTTGGGAGGGAGGAAAAGAATGCCGAATGGTGTAGCGGAATTTTCTACTGCTTTTCGCAATTCTTTGACCAACAGAACGACAGGCACCTACCTGTCTGTACTCTCCGCGCACACCAAAGGTTATATGTTAATGCAGAGAAAGGGGAAAAAGCTATTTCCGGGAGTATGATTCACCATCTGACATTCCATATTAGGAAGAAAAGTTGTTTATTTAGTTTCAGATTTGGTACGGAGGAAAATTGCGCGTTCATTTAAAAAAAAAAAAAAAAAAGCACTAAAAGCAAAAAATAAGCACTAAAAACAAAAAAATAAGGGCTTTAAAGAAAATGTAAGCATCTATAAGGGCCTTTATATTTTATTTTCAAATATAAGGACTTATAAGCACTTATAAGGACCGCTACGAACCCTGTTAATAAAAAAAAGAGATATTAATATATAACAAACAATACATAACAAACTGAATCAGCACTGAGGAGCTAATTTTCGAAAAGTACTTGTGTGATTTTTACAAATCTGGCAGTTAAGCATAATTTGAGTCGTAGAATTGAAAAGTGGAAAAAAATGGCATGTCATTTCAGAAAAAAATCCGATTTTGTGTCAAAATATCTATATTAGAACAAATGCTATATATAAATCTAATACATATAATAAGTCGCGCTCTCGAGACATGAAAAACGCAAGTTGAATTTTGTCAATCAGTCGAGTAGAACAGGAGATATAGAACGGTCCCTTTTTTCGCAGTGAACATATAAAATGCACTTTACTTTACACAGTGTACATATAAAAGTGAACAATTTTGTGAATGTTTTCGCAGCATACATATAAAAGAACTGAACACCTCAAAAGGTTTTCCATTTCTAATAAAATACTGGATTGGTTTCCATAAACAGATAAAAATACTACTGCAAATAATCAATGGTAAACAACCAAGCTGTGCAGCTGAAATTGCACATTTAAAAAGACTATTTAATTTGAAATGTTAAGATTTTAAATTACTGTTAGAAGCAATTAACTCGAAATACATATTTACTGCTAAATTGAGATATTCAATGCAGAACAAAAATTTTGATATCAAATACTTGGGGTAGATAATCTGACATAGATCTATGAGATATATTTAGATATAAAACCTTGCATTAAAAGTGGGGATAAAAAAGTTAACATTTTCTCTATGTTTATCATGTGCAAAGCAGTACAAACTACATAAAATTAAGGCAAAAAATTATTATTTCTTTTAGCAGAATCATGTCTCATACCTTTCCCACCCAGGATCACAAGCACATTGAAAACTCCATTAAAATTAACAAATGGAAGAAAATACCTTTAAATTTATCAACTATATAAATAAAAAGCAAAGCACGTTAGGCACATAGTCATAGTTTTACAGCTAACATTTAAGCAAACTATGTAGTAAAAACTGTAGGAATTAAAAATCTCATACATATATAAAGTAAGACATTTAGAATCATTTTTTCACAGAGACAAAAACTGAAACTCATTAGTAATAAATTTCAAATAATCTCATAAATGCCAAAAAGCATGAAAACAGATGTTACCGACATAGGTTTGTAAAAACCAAAACACTTCAAACAAGCAATACTCCAATTCAAAATTTAAAAGAAATTTAAAGAAAAAATAACATAATAAAAGAGGAATTCAATCAACTTCAATGCCACTTCATCAGAAGAAGGGGGAAGATTGTTTTGTAATTATATATATACATATATGAATGAAGATTCAGAATGTCATCAATTTAATTTCTGTAATTTTATAAATTTAAATACAGGACTTTCTTGATGAATCTTAAGCTTAACGCAACAACTTCACTGGGTCTTCCAGTGACAATCCAAGGCTACTGGAGTCATTTGTTTCTACTTAAACCAACTCCAGCAATAACAATTTAGTACCTTAGAAGCAAAAGTCTCCCAAATCCATGTTTATCACAGAACATATATACTATTATGGATTTATCATGTTAAAAAAAAAAAAAAAAAATGCTATCAGCAATTTTTGACTAGTAACTGATTGAAATAAAAGATTACATTGATATCAGTGAATGATTGCTAATTTACATTGACAATATGTGGATAAAGCTAACATATAGTCAAGTTATAAACAACATTACAGATTCCATTTTAATTCAAACGAAAGAAATTCATAATATACATTAAAATGTACTTTATATTTAAAAAATGAAATATTTCATTTCTTCATATTCATAAAACTTGCATATATTTCTTGGAATATATATCATGTAAAACTTGTTTATATAGATTTAATAAATAGAAGTTATTTTTAGAAAGGAGAACAGGGAGAAATATAATCTCATCTCCATCTTTAAAAGCTAAAAGAGTTACAACAGACATTTAAGTTTAAGAACTAATAACTAGAAATTAAATATACAGAATGCACAGTTACATATTTTAAAGCAAGCTGTTCAAAATTGCAGTGTTAAATGTTAAAGACAAAAGCTTGCAAAATTACTACATTATAAAACTAATGTCACATCCAGATATTTTGTATGTATTTAATAAACTAAAAATATGATATTTAAGACAGAGCTGCACCTTTTTCTTTTTTTCAGTGGATTGGATCTCTTGTGCACAAGACTTGAAATTCATTTTCATGTATGAAATCTGAACAATTTCTACCAGGAACTGAAATTTGCAGACAGAAAACAACAAATCTTGCACTCAGGTTAATTTTCTCTCTCTCTCTCTCTCTTTTTTTTTTTTTTTTTTTTAATAAATGCAATTATTTTCTTATCAATTTCCCATGTAATTTCTAATATTATTGCAGTATGAAAAATCCATTCATGCAGCTGTATTAACAGGGGGGAAAAGCGCTTAGAAATACCACATACCTTTCATGATCTTTCTCAACCAAATGATACCGGGCACGGAAAGCCACCAGGTGAGCATAGTATGCTGGAGCTGGAATGGATACAGATCTAGTGCAACGGACGTATGTGTGACAGAGTTGATAAGTCAGACACTGAAGCTCATCTGCAGTAAACTGGTTATCATCCCACAAAACATGATAATGTGATGGACGACTAGTCCCCTAAAAATTATTGAACAAATAAAGTTTGAATAGCCCAAACATAAAACAAATTATCCTTTTTTGTTAACACTAGCATCTGAAATGATCAATCAAAATAAGTTTACGATTTACCAACCTCTATCCTTATACAAAGCTTAACCGTTTAACTGCTATGTGATGTGAAAATGCTGGGTTCATTTGTCTCGAAAACCGCAACGCAGCACTTTTGAGCTGCGAGTTTCAGTGTGTCTTTGTTGATCCATGGGTGTGAACGTAGACAGTCTGACCTCATGCGTACTGTGTAACACGATTGCATTCTAAAATAACTAACTGCATCGCGGTTTTCGAGACAAATGAACGCACCGCTTTTGCACCACGTAGCAGTCAAACGGTTAAAATTATCTGAGCAAGCCTTCTTTAAAAAAAAACTAAAAGTTTATGGTGCAGAAAACTTAATGTATACTGAATTTAATTATGAAACAAATAGTTTTTTCATAATTTATCTTTTAGTAAATGTAATAATAAATAAAAAATGTAGTAAATATAGTAATGCATACACCATAATACCAGGTACACTTTTGCAAATACATCTAATACATGTTGATAAAAGGATCACAATTTCCATCGTATGTTTCCAGTTTCAGTATAAAATTTTAAAAACTTTTCTCGAAATGCATTTGTTCTTGCCAGTGCACAAGTAATCATTCTATAATTTAAATTCTATAATTAATTAAGTAATAAATATAAAAAAAATATATATGTAGATAATCTTATTGATGGTGGAACAGATGGGGAAGCTATGGAAGAATACTGCAATGAATGGAATGTTTCTAATGGCAATATTTGTTTATTAATAATCTTTACTTTCTTCGCTAGCTCTTGCATTTATTACTACACATCTACCATTTCACAGAATTATTTCAATTGCCTCTATAAGAAGTGAATCTGGTACGACTCAAGTTATCAGGTATGACAAAAAATTATTTTACAAGTATTTTAGTTCTGGAAGGCAATATTAATCCTGTGAATTTTTTATGATACATAAAACTAGCACTCAAAAATGTTTTATTAATTCTAAGCAATAATTTAAGTCAGTGTATTACAAAGAGGAGATTATATTCATTAAATGCAAAATCAATTCAAAACATGAAGCAAAACTGTTTGGAGTTAGCTATAAATTTTATACTACTGAAACTTTCTCTGATGCTGTATTATACCTATATGTAATTATCTATTTTAACAAACAGAAATCTTACTACTTAGAAACTTGTTTAAGTGTTTTAATGAAAATTTTACACTAATAAATTAAATACATTAGTATTTCACATGAATACTAAATATTGTTCCTTTATATAAATTTTAATGCAGAGGCATGTAGTTCAGAATGTTTACAGCTTTTGATATGGATAAATATTTTCAAAAGGATTCCAAGCAAATATTAGAAAATGCTAAACAGTTAAAGCTTTACTTTTATTAACATTAAAAAACTTTAAAATACCACAAAATATTGCTATTTTTATTAAATAATAAATAAATTTAATAAATACAGTAGACATATGCAGAATTATTAACTCTCACCTGTATACCAGCATGACTGCAAAGATAGAAATCGAACTCAGTTGGATGAGTAATACTAACATCAACAGTAGTACCAGCTGGTATATTACCACTTTTCCCAATTTGTTCTTTTTTGTCCGAACAGAATAATCTTGTATGATGCCGCTTCTGAACCACAATAAATGTGATTCCAGGTTTATAATCTGCTTCGAGTTTCATGCATGCTTCCCTCACGGCCAAAAGCTCATGGGTAAGTACCTAACAAAATAAAAAAGAAATGTATCTCAATGCACAGATTACATAAGAGATTTAGATCAAATAACACACATTTACAGAGACCACAAAATTCAAATTCATCAAACTTTAAATCAACCACATTCTGATGCATAATAAGCCTAAAAAAAAGTATGTGAATAAGTTATATAGAAAAAGAACACATTCATCTTGGACCTGTGGATGAATAGTTGTATTCGAACAACATTAGTTAATTATTGCACTACTTACTTTACCATTAGTTTTCATAAACTTCCATTTAATAGGATAACATTTAGATTATTAAAGAATATAAGAGATTAAAATATTTTAAATAATGAGTTATTATAAACCATGTGACAAAATTTCATGATCAAACATAAAAAGTCATGCCATTCAAAGGGTTTAGGGGGTTCAAAGGGTTAAATTAATTATTCTGCCATAAATAATTAAAATAATTAAGAATTCAGATGAATATTTTATTATCTACAAGAATTTAAAGGAACAAAATAATACTGAAATGCTAATAAATTTTAGAAAGCTGTGTATTTTTCCTACCATAAAATTAATTAATTACAAAAAAATAAAAGCATGCAATCTGAAATCTTTCTAGATATAAAAATATGACAGCATTAAAAAACTTTTTCCTAATAAAATCTTAAAATTCATTAGAACTCTATTGAGAATTGTAGCAACAGGTAACAGAAATTAGGTGGTTGAAATCCGAGTACCTTATAGCAATTAAAAAAAATCTGATATGGACACAATATGACTTCCTTGTATAGCCTATTAATTTATATACATTTTTTGCTGCACTTTAAAGCTTATTTCCAAAAACTATTACAACTTAATTACGCGATACCTCAAGTCCAGCTGAAAATGACATCAAAAACTGCAAATTTTAAAATAAAGTATCTTAGTCAATTTTTCTCGCATGGTAGTCAAGTGTAAAACTTTCAAAAATATAAATACAGGAGCCAGGAGACCGCACTTATTGTAGATTTTTGTTTGTTTAATTTGATACTGGCAAAACATAAATATTTTCATTATTTAAAACACTTCTGTAATTGGAAGTATATGACTACAATCAAAAACTACAAAATTAAAGGCCAGCTAGCAAAGGGATGAGTATATATATATATGTGTGTGTGTGTGTGTGTTTGATATCGCCGACTGCCATAAGATGGAAAGATGCACAACCAGAAATTATAGCAGTCCCACACACAAAATTAAAGTTCTACAGTGAAAAAAATCCCTTTTCAATACATTTTACCATCTGTTTCCTTTATTCTCTCTGTCGGTAGGCAAACGTCATACGAAAAAGTTTCTAAATGGATTCTGGAAGAGTCAAAATTTTGATACCCAAAATTTTTCACAATTACAATACTTCCTTTACTTCATATATAAAGAAAAATTTGATGGGTACAAAACATGACTTCCTTGTACAGAATATTAAATTATATGCATTTTTTCTTGCATTTCATTTAAACATATGGGATTGAATTAAATCCACTTCGTCGATGATAGCACATAAACCACACTAGAACAAATGCACTCTTTAAAATTCGCTATATTTGTTTACCATAGAAACACTCTGGTGCTAGGTTCATTTAACAGCGTTATATTTCGTTCACATTATAACTCAGAATGCACAAATTTATATCATTTGAAGAATTATCTAATCGTTGCCACATGTTCTATTCAAATACTATAATAAATTTAGAACGATGTATAAAAGAAATTAAGTACACAAAATAAAGAAACAGTTTTTCACAGACAATTTAGTATTTCTCATTAAATTAATTCAGTTATCACTTTGCGACAAGGCAAAAATACATAAAAACTCAAAATATCTATATTAAAAATTACGAAGTAAATCCTAAACACTTATTTCCTCGAAAAAATTCCAGAAAGGATTAAGCATGATTTAATTCGCAATAATAAATGAAGGTGTTATCTTTGTTGTTGTGAAACTTAGTCTCTCTAGATTGGCAACAAATCTATTATTCTGCTATTTCAAATGTAAACAAATACAGGGGTTGGACAAAAATATGGAAACACCTTTAAAAAAAAACATGTTTCTTTGCTTAATATGGTGTAGGAAAACACGTTGGCATCCAAAACAGCTTGCAGTTTTCTCGGAATGGATAAATACAGTTCCTGTATGTTTGCCAAGGGAATATTATACCATTCTTCCTGCAAAACGGTGGCAAGTTCAGATAACGATGTTGGCGGTGGATAACGAGAACGCACTTTCCGTTCCAATGTAGACCACAAAGGTTCGATAATATTCAGGTCTGGTGACTATGGTGGCCAGGGGAGATGGGACAACTCATCCTCGTGCTCAGAAAACCAGTCCTGGACAATGTGAGCTGTGTGAACAGGGGCTTTGTTGTCTTGGAAGACACCATCACCATCGGGGAACAAAGTTTGTACCATGGGATGAACTTGATCGGCCAAAATGTTCACATAAGTCTTGGCAGTCATGTGCCCTGACACAGTTATTATGGGGCTAGCAGAGAACCACGATATGGCTACCCAAACCATAACAAAAACCCCGCCATGTTTCACTCTTGGTAACAAGCAGTCTGTATTATAGGCTTGAGATGGCGTTCTCCACACGTAAACTCGGCCAGAAGTGGGAAACAATGTGAAAGAAGACTCGTCAGACCATATTACTCGCTTCCACTGCTCTATAGTCCAGGCTTTATGACTTAAACACCACCTTTTCCTGTTATGGGCATTAGCATCACTGATGAGTGGCTTCTCAATCGCAGCACGGCCAGCAATTCCCTGTTTATGAAGCTCCCTTCTAATTGTCTTGGTACTCGCAGGGTTTGGTAACACAACATTCATTTCAGCAGTAACTTTTGCAGCTGTGGTCTTCTTATTTTTCGTCACAACTGCCCTTAATGACTGTCTGTCACGATCACTCAGGACACACTTTCGTCCGCGCTGTGATTTAGCAGATGATGTTTTTCCGCTTTTCAAATATGCAGAATAAATCTTCGATACAGTAACCTCTTGAAACACTAAACACCTGGGCTACCTGCTTACGGAAGCACCTACCATACGTGCTCCAACAATTTGCCCACGTTCGAAGTCTGTTAACTCTGACATAATGCAATGACAACCTCACATAACAGTACTCCGACAACAACTGAACTGTTTAGCACATTTATGAAGTTGTATAGGTGGCATCAGTAGTCAAAAACGCCAGTGCCACCTACATATTTCATTAAAAATCAATCTTTCTTTTCAAACATGCATTTCACAAGGTGTTTCCATATTTTTGTCCATCCACTGTATGTCTGCCATGTTATTTAAAAATTAGGCTTAACCGCACTTAAACAGCTTTTGAATTGTCGATAATTGTACAAATATTGCTTGCAGATTTACTGAAGGCATAAAAACCTTAACCAGAAGATAAGAACAACTTGATTCAATCATTTTTAAATCAAAAAATTTACAAAACATATAAGAATAAAGAAACTGAGATCACTGAGCCGGATGCTGACTTCGTGAAAGAAATTCTGATTACTACAGTGGAAAAAGGAAAGAAGAAATGGAAAAAATACAAATGGAAGAAGAAAGATTAGAAACAAAAAGAAAACACAAAATAGAATTAGCGAAGATTCGAGCAACTCAAAATGAAGGAAGTAGAAGTCCAACACCTTCAATCCAAAACACAGAACGAGAAACCAAAATTTCCCTCGACAAGCTGATCAAAGGAGTAGAAACACTGACTATACCAGTACTGAAGAGAGCAGAAGAATGGAATATATTTTTCGATTCTATCGAAAGAGCATTTAAGCACAAGAAGGTTGCCGAAGAATACAAATCGGAAATACTATCAAAATTAATTGGTGAAAAAGCTTCAAATGTTCTTGTTTATATAAAAGAGGAAGATCTGCAAAATTACGAAAAAGTGAAAACTCTTGTTCTGAAGGAATACCAACCTACTCCTGAAACCTGTTTAGAAAATTTCAGAAGAACTAAACAATATTCCGGCGAAACGCATATCGTTTGCTTCACGACTAACAGCTACAATTGAACTTCAACCAATTGAAGCAAATTTACAATAAAAGATCATGGAAGCAATATATTTAATTTTGTATATACATTAATTGCAATGACTGATAAGCTAAATGTGCCTTGCTTAACAACTCCAGAAACACATGAACTGTTGATTAATTCTGTGGCAGAAGAATCAAACGCAGAAAGAAATAATTACGGAAGCGAAAACACGCAAAGTTTATTCGCCAATGCACAGTCATACAACAGAGAGTTGCATGTTAGCCTTGGAAAAGGAAGGTAGTAGATTTCGCTACACGGTAAGAGCAACGTACTGCTCTGAGTTCATTTATTATTCTTTGAATCATATTTTCCTAATAAATGTTTGTTTCGTCTTGCTAAATAGTGGCTTATTAAACCACGAAGTCATCACAGACATAAGCTCTGCCACTGTCATTAACTCTTTCGCATCAGTACAGGCTAAAATCTGTTTCACTAAAGCATCTGAAGTGTCACATATGTGTATTTTTGTTGGAATGGATTTCCTTTTCCCCTGTGCCAAGTAGAATGTTACAGCACTAACAATAACCTACTTAAGTGAAATGATAAGTTCTGCGTTTGGATCTTCAAATAACAGAACTAATTTTAGTTGCTTCAAAAGACTGATTGGCAAGCCATTTAACAAATCCGGAAAGCAATCAGCCCCGCACTATCCTGATGGGGGAAAACACCAGGTAGAAAATTATTCAGGGGTTCGGGGGACCCACTGATGTCTAAATTGTTGGGTCTTTTGAGCGATTTTGATGTGAAAGAGTTAACAATGCCAGCACACTTCTCTACTTTAACCTTTGATAACACAACACATATCTAGCCTGTAATAGCATGGTAAGTATGACACTATTTATTCTATGAAGAATTCCCCTTTCGAGATCATCTAGGTTCTGCACAAGCAATGCAATATCCTTAAAGTAGTCGCAGAACCCCTTCTGTTA